TCACTGATCCTTTTTTTCCCCATATTGCTTTTTTTTTTTTAAATTTGAATTATTTATTTTTGTGGTGCAAATAATAAACATACGCTCTTGCTATGCCACAACAGCAGTAACAAGTATTGTAGTACACACAGTTTAACAGGTACATGGCATACATGATTACTGCACACATTTCTTAAGTAAAGTTGTAATATAACATGCTTGTCGAACATATCTGGAGTATAGAGAGAAGCCTCTCAGAAATCATCGCCTACGTACATATGTTGAAGATTATAAGAAAATAAGATGCAAACCAGGTTTATAGAATAGGATTATGAGGAATTGATTATTAGAGAGCAAGAACTGAAGCTTTTCCGCCTTTTCTGATAACTGTATGCCTGTGCTACTGGAATGTAGTACATTTCGGCTGCACTGGGTGAAGTAGCAAAAAGGAAGAGGGGAAACAAGGGTTAATACAGCCTGTGGTAATTATCTACGTCCGCTATTTAGCCAGTCATGTAATTTTCAATTAGGTATGTGACATCATAGAGGCATCGGGGACAAGGTAAGTGGGCAGCAGGCATGAAAAATAAAAGAAGTAGGGAGTGAGTACTTAGCAGGAATTTCGTTTGGTAGACAGGCACTATGCCAGAGGTACAGTCTCGGACACCTTTCAGCCACAATAGGCTTTGAGGCACCTGATAGCAGTAGCTGTATTAAGGCTACTGCTGACCTTACCCTGCAGTAATGATGTAACTTCATGATATTAGAGTCCATGCTGCAGGAGATGGTTGTTCTGTGCTGGGATGTGTTCATCCGTCGCCTGTAGACGGGGTCTCAGTGGTTTCCCCTGTATGTCGATCTGCCAGGCTGCAATGAGGGACAGGTGCTACTCTGCTTTGTCTCGTCAGAGTGTATGTCCTTCCTGACCGCAGACGCAGCATCTCCTGGGCTCCGCTACTCCTGCTGCAGACTTCTCCATGCTTCCTGCCTCGTTTTGGTGCCGCTCTCAAACGGGTGCTGTTGGGGTCGGATAGATGGGTCGTGCGGTTGGAACAAGGTTATCCCTGGTGCGGCTGGTACTTGTGGGATTCTCATGCTTGATTTCTGCAGTCCCCACCGCTTTGCTGCTTTGCGTGTGCGAGGTGAGTTTCGGGCCCTCTTCCGCCGTCTTGCGAGTTTGTTTTTAGGGCCCCTTAATGCAGTTTGTGCTCGAGCTTGAGCCAAAAGTCTGCAAAGATTGGGTCCAGGTTGGACCTTTGGTCGTGTCGTGCCTCGCGGCTGTTTAGGATCTGCGTGGTCGCCGCCATCTTAGATTGGCCCCGAGGCTCTCCGGCTCACCTTCCCAGGGTTTCTGCTGTGTTGGAGAGGGCTCTCATGGGTGGACTGGGATCACCCCCACCGGTCCAAGGGGGGAATTGCGGGGTATCCGTTTGTAGCAGCCGGTCCCCGGAGAGCCCCAGGCTGGGAGGTCGGCCGTCTCTCCCAGTCGGAATCCGCTGCGTCGTTTGCGCTCGTGGGTATTGCTGACTGTCCAGTGTCCGCTCACGGGCCGCATCACCGGTTTACCGCGGGGATTGATATCGGGAGAGTCGCTTGGAATCTTGCTTTTTGCATTTTATGGGAAAGAAATGCCGTTTTAGCGGAGTCTGGTGAGGTGATCGAGCTCGGCACGTCTTCCCTCCATGGCAGTCAGACCCCGACCCCCTTCCCGTATTGCTTTTGACATGTTGTTTTTGAGATACTCATACTAATGTTACCTATGTTATCTATAGCTGCACAAATAATAATAATAATAATAATGGGAAAAAAATATATTTTCTTTCAAAACTTGATAAAAGAATTATTATTTGAAATAATAGTTTTAAAGTAACAGTTGTACTTTAAAGAATACCATACAGGATCCCAGCCACATCGTTAAAGTGGCCTAAAGGTAGGATTGCAGCTATGGAAAAACATGCAACAGTTCATTGTTTTTCATAAAGCTTATGTTATTTAATAGCGTGTATATCTATATAGTTAAAAACAAAACGTGGTAGATTCAGTCATGAGTGTCCCTTTAAATCCAAGATAATTTATCAGCAGCATTTCTTCTTAAATTCATACAACACTGGTAAGAGAAATGCTCTATGTTATAGGTACATAGCGCCCTCCTGTGGCCATATTTATTGGCCGTTACTTGCAACTTCAACACAAAGATTTTAACGTTAAGAGTCGTATTCCCAACTATGTAAATTAACCGAGTGCCATGAAAAGTAAAAAACGAAATAAAAAGATTTGCTTACAGTAAATCTTATGCCGATCCAATCTTGCTGCAGTCATCAGTAAAGACCTTCGCCAGTCCAATGCTTCTCCATCGATAGCATTGGGGACTACTGCGCATGTGCGGCAATCGCATTAGCTCAGTGCATCTCCATGGGGATCCTTCAGCTTCTTCATGCAGAGCGTGAATAAGCAAAATGTCTGTCATGCAAAGATTGCAGGAACGCAACAGGAAGGGCCACTAGTGGCTGTTAAAATAACCTTTGAAACCATTAGGAAACATTCCTGAGACTACAGGGGCAGTCTCTTTGTACCAGAATCACTGCATTAAGCTGTAGTGGTCCTTGTGTCTTTAACCCCTTAAGGACCAAACTTCTGGAATAAAAGGGAATCATGATATGTCACACATGTCATGTGTCCTTAAGGGGTTAATCGTACATAGGTCAATGATCTTTATCTTTAAATTGGATTGTCCCTTGCAGGTTGCATTCTATATTAACCAGCAATTTAGAGGGAGTGAAGCCTTGGGTGCCTTCTGGCTATGTTGAGAATAACGGATGAGACATAAAGGACAGTAAAGGGGCTCTCTAAGAACCATAATCACTACACTAATTGAAAACCAAAATTAATTCAAATGCGCAAAGTGTTATTAAGCTCATTTAAAACATAACTTTTATTCTAGATTATTAAAACTACATGCAAGCCATCACAGGGAGGGATAAAAAAAAGTTAAGCTATCATTAGGTGTGATCACTCGCACAAACATATTTTTTCTTTCTACTTTTAGGCCCCCCCCCCCCCTTCCTGTTGAGTTGATTGTAATTTGAAGAACCTTGAAGACATTTTAAGTTTTAAGCAAGATGGATTAGCTCTTGCTCTGAAGAAATACCCGACTGTCGATGACTCTCATTGAGGCCCTCTCTCTTTATGTCTGCCACATACTGAAGGGAAGCCCTGAAAGTGCAAGAGTGCCTGATGGCCTGAAGGCCTGTTCCCCACTGAGACATGGTCAAGTACTCGAGTTTCTGTGTGGACTAGTAACACAGTCTTGTTGTGCGAATGCTCTAGGGAAGCAGAAATCCATTGGCATGCAATCTGGTATAACTAACGGTAGTAGGTAGCCAGCTTGGGAAGGCATATTACAGGCATATGTGTCTTCTGTAGCGCTCCAATCATGAAATCAGTGTCCAACGGTGGCATCGAGGATGTATCGAATCCATAGTAATCCATAGGGATCGTAAAGACTAGATATATGAATAACTAAAACAGAAAAGAGACTAGAAAGTAAGAAGGGTAAAATATCCCAAAACCCAGGAATTGAGTGTGCTGAACTCTTAATAATCTCTTCCCACAATAAATGGTCAGATCAGGTTTTTTTTGTACTTGATGAAAAGACAAAGATACTTAAAGGACCACTATAGTGCCAGGAAAACATACCCGCCCGGCTCTGGAAGGGGGAAAGGGGGAAAAACGTACTTTTTTCCAGCGCTGGGCGGGGAGCTCTCCTCCTTCTCTCCTCCCCGTCGGCTGAATGCGCACGCGCTGCAAGAGCTGCGCGCGCATTCAGCCGGTCACATAGGAAAGCATTCACAATGCTTTCCTATGGACGCTGGCGTGCTCTCACTGTGAAAATCACAGTGAGAAGCACGCAAGCGCCTCTAGCGGCTGTCAATGAGACAGCCACTAGAGGATTGGGGGAAGGCTTAACCCATTCATAAACATAGCAGTTTCTCTGAAACTGCTATGTTTATTAAAAAATGGGTTAACCCTAGCTGGACCTGGCACCCAGACCACTTCATTAAGCTGAAGTGGTCTGGGTGCCTAGAGTGGTCCTTTAACAATAATTATAGATTTTCTATTGTAATAGTTATAATGCCAGGAGTACAGTGGCACTGTTCCTTGGTAATGGGGCAGTTTGACTTCTTACCTGGGTTCCTACTGGGCACCGAGACTCCTTGAATAGCCGCTGATGAGCAACCAATCTCTTCAGGGCTGCAGAAGCCTGAAACCAAATACCTCTGGTCATTTATTTGCTGAGCGCTCAATCAATGCATGACACTCTGGATGCTAGAGTTACTCCTCCGGCAATACTATTAAATATCTCTGCATATGCAGCATTTCATGCTGAAACACTGAACGTAGACTCCAAGCACCATGGCCACTTTACGACAGGAATGGTACATTTCTCCCAACCACCACCTCACTCTTAAAAGAGCTATTTTCATTTGTGTACTCCTCCAGTCCATGTGTCCCAGCTCAGTGCCCTTCCCAGCAGCCCCAGAAGTAGACCAGTCATAGACCCGCAGGAAGCTCACAGAGGTACTGTGCGTCTGACCGTGAGTAACCACCATTTTCTCTGAAACTCTTTATCAGATCACAGAATAGCCAGGGTCTGGTAAAGCTTTGTTAAATGTGTTTTCGGTCCCAGGACCACCTATTAGAGCACTATTTAGAAGGGTGATAGAGGAGTTGGTGAGTCATCCAATGGTACCCAGTGCTTGAGGGAACTTCATTTACCCACAGAAAGTGTAATCAGTTTAGGTGACCGGGGTTTTCTACCCAGAGGAATGGAACTCTGCTCTGGATCAGAGGACAGCTGCGACACAGTCAAAACTTTACTTCCAGCTAACTCGGGCCAGCCAACTCCGATCCGAGTGCTCTTTGGACAGAGTGGGTGCTCAGAAGAGCTTTCCTGAGGACATAATTTGTTTGGAAATGGTTTGGGAATCCATTTTCTTTATTTATAATGTTGACCCGGTGCCTGTAGGGGAAAAACTGCTTCTAGTTGACGGTCAGGAAACCTCCATCCCTATCAGAGCGCTCTGGGAACAAGTAAGGAACAGAAAAATACGATTCCAAACGAGTTCATCGGTTTATTGATACAATCATAATATTTATACAGCAAAAGTAGCGAGTGATTACGTGGGCTGGTTTCTAACATTGCTGCATACAGCTTGTCCTGTACGCACATAGGAAATGTTACAATTTCAAGTTTGTCCTATAAGCACATACCAGAGATAATGAGTTACAGTTTCAGCAGAAAGTTTCAAGCTATTTTAGCATAAAATTTCAAACTGTTTTGCTTCTGCAAGCATGGATTAACCCTTCAGTGCCAAGGTATCTGGCCGCTAATTAATTTACCTGTTCTGGTACATACACCAATGCGCTGGGTATGTTGCAATGCCATTGTTCTCCTGGGGACTTCCTGTTGAGGCACCAGGTATAAAAGTGTGACCATTGTTTCAATAAATCAGTTCTTCATCCTACACTATGTCTCGGCTAGTGCTTGGGGTGAAGCTGCTTAACATCTATAATTGTCTACTATGATCTGTGGGCTATAATCACTGAGGGAAATGGAGTCCTTGACGGCAACACTCGGATCCCTTGTGAGTAGGTCACCACACACTTCATATAACATGTAAGTAATCCTTTAATTTTCTTCATTCTATTGCACTTATAATGTGCAATGAAATAGTCAACATGACATGTCTTATGGGTGGCCTCTCATAAGTTCATAGCCAGATAAAGTCCAGCTGTCTCTAAATCAAGGAGAAACAGAATATTCGGATCACCGGAATTAATATCAGAGAGATTGACTAAGAAAACATCTAAGGAAGATTTTCCTTATTCTCTATGGCATGGCCTTGTAGGTGGGACAGAAGCACAAGGCTTGTCCTCTTCTATCACAAGATGTCACAAACTGTATGATAGTATTGTTTCTTGTCTGCTAATCTCCTTGAGCACACTGGGTTCCTGTAAGGTTCATCAGGCTAAATTAATTGCTACTATTTCTATTGGGATTTATTGGTCTCTGAAGCTTTAATCAATATGGTGAATGTTTGTGATTGTAACCTTAAGTAACGTAACAAAAGCTGGTATTTGCTGTTGTTGGATCCATTTTGCACTTGTGTAGTTCTCTCTAGACTGTTTTGATTCTAATGGTGATCACGTCTTCTCCATATAACCATGGTGGAGGAATTTAACAAAGAAGGTGCCTAATGGCCACATCAGAAACCGGATGTCAAGGCAAGCTGCATAGTAGCAATAAGTGTAAACAACCCAAGTTCAGGGGTGATAGTTTTCAGAATGTACATTGTAAGAAACTCAAGAAGGCATCATCATGCACTAGAACACTCACATTGGGCGAGTATCGATGTGTATAGATCTATCCTTTTTTTTTTTTTTTTTTTTATACAAGGACTAAGTGACCTGGAGCTGATTATTGAACTACAGAAACCATGTACCAATACGTGCACTGTCATGGCCATGAATATGGTGGAACACAATGGTAAATGACTGACCAAATGTATCCTGTTTACTTATCACACATAGTACCAAAGAAAACATGGAATGCAAGGTGATTGGCTTTTTTTTTCTATGCGAAGAACATGAAAGTGTTTTGTGACGAGACCAATCTCTCCACTGTGCATTGGAGGAGCCTGGTTGCCCGTCTGCTGCCTTTAGACTATGGCCCCATGTTGAAACGCTTGATTTTCCCTTGCAAAGACACGAAAGCCGGGTCATTCGGTGCTTACCCTGTTTGAGCGGTGATACCCCAGATAGCTATGCCATGGAGCCCATTCGTATAATGAAAGACTATGGGAAAGACTTTGGCTCCATGGCAATTGAACTGTATGTGTGTGATCTGATCGCCATTCAGTAATAATGTTCGGTAGCTGCCTGTATATCTGGAAGGGAAGATCTACTAAACGGCGGTTTAACCGCTTTATGCATGGGGGTGCCGTTACATGTTCCAACAAACAAAGAGCTTAAAACACAGAAAATGTGCCAACCAGGCCACATCAGGCAGATGTACATTCGATAGCATCATGCTGCTCACACACAAATTGCTGCTGACACCGTTACAGAACTCCAGCTGCAAAGCAAGGAATAGAAAGTGAAATAAAATAAAAGTATGTGTTACAGACTCCGTAAAATACATCATACAGTGCAGAATACTATATATCAGGCATGAAAATGTGTGTTAGCAATAGCTCCCACCTCTATGGGTCATTAGAGCATTAATAGTTCATACAAAGGCTGTGTGGAGAATAAACCGACAGTAAGTGTAGCGGAGCGCTGGTCTTAGCAGGGATTTTTTTCCGCTGGTTTCTCCAAGATGTGCTCAGGAACAAAGAAGTTACTCCAAGGGAACCGCTGAATACAGCAAGACAAGCCAAGATTCTCCCAACACCTCCCCAGTAACTGGACGACACTCAGTTTTGGGGGTATAACTCATGGAGGCACACTGCCTTTTATGTGATTTTCCCCACAAGGTTGACGCCCAGGTAGACCTTGTGGGGCACCGAGACACAAAGTTAACAAGTCAATGAAACAGTGTTATACATGGAGACACTTCCATACAGTATGCACAAGCCCTCCCCTCTGCCTGGTAGATAATTGAGATAGAGAATGTAATAACTCAGTTATCCCCAGGCAGGAAAACCACATATTTTACAAGATTTCAGAAGTACCCCAAAAACATCACATATCCCCATAAATCCCTGTATAGCTCCGATCTGGGTGCACTGGCGTACATACAGGGGTCGCAGCTGCCACTGGGCCCATCACTCCAGGGAGCCCGGCCGCCCTGTGGACCCCTGCGAGCGGGTACCCGTCGCCATCTTTTGCGACCCCCGGCCTGCGCGGCAAACTGCTGGAGCCGCCGACCAAGGGGTCCATTGGGTGGCCCATGCTCTCAGGGCCACCCTAAAGAGATCAATAGTGAGGGGTCCCGGTCAGCGCTGGGCGCTTTAACAGTGCGACTGGGCCCCCTGTGATGATGTCAGAAATAGCTGGGGGAGAAGTGAATGCACGTCTCCTCCTATCTGATCTCCTCACGGCCCGAGTGGACCCACGACCAGAAAACAGGGCCACCTCTCCATGGCCTGGAAGAGGTGATCAAAGGATCTCCAATGTCGACCGTGCACGCTGGACAGCGTGGTGTGGCCCCTATGCCCGTGGGGCCCCCGGGCAACTGCCCAGTGTGCCCATGCTGAAAGACGGCCGTGAGTGCAGCCTCTTGGTTTCTAGTTGCTGTTTAAACATCTGTATAGTTCGACTCTGATAAAACCATTTCTTCAGGCACAGAATTCCACATCCTTATTGCTCTTACTGTAAAAAAAAAAAACCTTTCTTTTGCCCTGGACTAAATCTCTTTTCTCCAGCCTTAACATGTGACTTCGTGCCCATGCATTGTCCTGTTGGTGAATAGATTTCCAGACAATGGATTGTATTGACCCCGGATATATTTGTATAATGTTATCATATGCCCTCTGAGGCGCCATTTTTCTAAACTAGAGAGGTTGTCTCTTTCATTTTTATTAATTTTATAGCCGCCTCTGCGCTTTATGTAGTGACATAATATCCTTCTTTAGAAGAGGTGCCCCAAATTGCACAGCATATTCAATATGTGGTCATACCAGTGATTTATGAAGAGGCAAAATGACATTTTCATCCTGAGAATTAATGCCCTTTTTCATGCATGACAATAAATTGACCCCACACACATACACACAGCATCCCTCACAAACACACAGTACTGATTGACATTGCACATTGTTGCATAGTTTGTTGTCTATAACAATTCCCAAATCCTTCTCGTGTGTTGTTTTTACTAATAACCATGTTCCTCTAAATTAATACCTGAATATTATCCCTTAATAGCCCTTCAAATACTTTCCCAGCCAATGAAGTTTAGCTGGCATGTCTATTATTTCCAGGCAAATATTTTGAGCCCTTGTTGAATATAGGAATGACATCTGCCTTCCTCCAATCCTCCAGTACAATGATGAGGTGTCACCTGCTTTTCCTTTAGGTATAAACAGGCTCAGTTTTGCTTGTTTTGCCATACATTGTACTTTTAATTCATACATAACGACCTTTATTATGTCGCTAACATGAGATTTCTTTTCATATGCTGTAATGTGCCATATATTTAAGAAACTTTGAATAATATATATATACTTTTTTAAATGTATGGATTAGAGGATCGCAGATTATGAGGAAAAAAAAAAGAAGGAATAGGAAAACGATGCCAACTAAAAATGTCTTTAAAAAGTGTAGCTAGGCTTTGTACCTTATTACCCAGTATAAACAATCTATTGAGTACGTTCAACCCCATATAGAAGAAATAGAAGTAAACCCTATGTCAGGGGTAGGCAGCCTTTTAGTAGTACTGTGCCAAAACCAGATCTTGAAGTGCCCTGGTCTGCCGGTTCTATTTTTGTTAAATATTCAGTTGTGTATGTTGCTGTGTTCTGCTCGTGTTATTTATAGGTGCTTCAGTTGCTTTGTAGTACTGTATTTGTGCGTATGTGGGCTGTTATATTTTATATATTCATAAGTAGTTTGTGGTATTGTATGAAACCTTTGAATGTTGGCTTCTTGTGGAATTGTGTGTGGACGATGTCACATTGTGTGTTTGGTGGTGTGGAGTTGTGTGGGTGTATGTGGGCAGGAGCTGTGAAAGCTGCTGTGGACTACCCTACTCCAGCACGGATTCCCGTTCATGCATGGAAGACATGCCATAGGTTGCTGACCCTTTCCCTATATCCAATATTATCCCACTAGGGGTAGCAGTGCCTTCTTAAACCCTAAACAACAGACATAAACCTATAATAAATAATACATTATTCACCACTAGGATTAGCAGTCTCAGTATAGGAAAAAACTCTAACCTATCAATGCAAATCCATGCAGTTTTAACTTACAGTACGATATGTATACGCTTAGGATAATGAGGACCAAATTCATTCTGCAGTATTTACTCGGGTACACCGTCGATTCAATGTTTTCTGGAATTTCCTAGCTACAGTGATGTATGTAAGACAAAAAAAATCACATGGTATTTCTGAGAACCTGGTCAAACTGGATTATGGTACTGCTTTCTCACACAATGGTTATATATTATAATATTATAGAGCGCACAGCCTGGGAGTCCCAGCCACTTCCAAAACTAAGGAACAAATGGCGGCTAGGATAAAACCCACTTGTGTTGACTGCCATTTGCCCTGTACAGAATAATAGAGACTCTCCTGTTTTATTGATCACCCTACATTACATCTTTACTAATTAATTTCATTTTATGCAAGGCACAGTGTGCTCAGAGTCACTGTTACGGATTAAAATTATTTACAGATTCTAAAGGTTCTAGACCAGGCTTCCCCAAACTCCGGGCCTCCAAATGTTGCTGAACTACAACCCACATGATTCTCAGCCTATCTGCTTCATTCATGGAATCATGGGAGTTGTAGTTCAGCAACATCTGGAGGGCTGGAGTTTGGGGAAGCCTGTTCTAGATCATAGAGTCACATGGCTAGATGATAGACACCCTGTCCATTGCCTCTTCTTTGTTGATTGCCCATAAATGCTATACTTTTCTGACCTTGTCCTGCTATGACCAAAATATTGTCCCATCAATTATATTTTTGTGACTCCCGACCACCCCCATGTTAGTGTCTTTATAAACCAGATAATCTGTGTGTAATAAACCCCTGAAGCAGTGGTTTTGTCTGTTGTTCTGAAGATCTTATCACAAGTTACCGTTAAAAAGTATGTAGGTGGGGAGCCAAGTTGCAGAGCAGAGAAGTTGCATGGCACTGTAGTTCCTGCAGTTTCATGCTAAAAACACCCAAACCAAACGACAAAAAAAACTACCAAAACAGCCACAAATCCCAGGCAATAATAGTGGAATCGACATGGGACTGAAAAACAAAAAGCAAAAGCCCGACCAGCCCAGACTTGGCCTCGATATCGGAGCCATGTGGTGTCAGGCCCATGGAGCAGCTGGGCCCAAGATAGCCGAATACCCAGAGACTTATTCCAACCTGTCGGATGACTTCTCCCAAGGTGAGGACATGCATCACTCTCCCAGTCCACCGGTAGCCAAAGCCACACCACCAGACCCAGATAATGCACCAGCCACTACAGAGGTGCTCAAGGCATTACTGGAAGGCCTACAGACCACGATCCAGGCAGAAATGGCGGGTCTCCGCACGGATCTCCAGGGAATAACCGGGAGACTGGGCACCCTGGAGGACTCCTCCACCACGGCTACCCACATTGCCTCCATACAACTGGAGATTAGGGGTCTGCAGAACAAAACGGAGGCTTTTGAGCGGCGGTTTGCCGCACTGGAAGACGCACGCAGAGCGACCAACATAAAGGTACAGGGAGTACCAGACGACATGCCGGCAGAGGAACTGCTGCATTTCGCGCAGAGGCTCCTGGCAGCGCTGCTACCATCACGGTAAGCCAAAGCAATAAGCCTGGACAGAATTCACAGAGTTCCCAAACCGACCAAAGCCCCACCAGTGGCTTCAAGGGACATCATACTCCGCTTCCAGCGCAAGGAAGACAGAGCCGCAACCGTGGCAGCGGTTAAAAATCTTCCCCAGTACTCCTTCGAAGCCATGTCCCTCTCCTCCTTCACGGACTTGTCCGGCAGTACCTTGGCCTGGAGATGGTCACTTAAGCCACTTACAACGCTACTTCAGCAACAAGGCACAACATACCGATGGCGCCTCAACCGCACCCTGCTGGTGACACATAGCGGGAACACCCACGAGATTCATGACCTCCAGGGAGCACTGGACTTGCTACCCATACTGGGACTACCTCTAGATGCCATACGTACCACGACAACCTCCGAGACCACCAAACCAAGGCACAGGTGGAACCTGGAAAGGGTGAAAACTTTCCCCCCGTCTGCCCTAAGCGGAAACAAGATTGCACATCACCCTAAACGGCAGACAGACGGGGTTACAACACACCCAGTACCTAGATACCTCCCAAGCTATATAATTATCTAATGATAACAGAGGGAAGAGAACACCACAGAACGATACACTGCATTACTTAGCCCAACACCTCTCGAACAGCTGATTAAAGCATAGGCGGATTAACCCCACAGCACACATACTAACAGAGCAGACAACACCAACTAGCTTGACACACGCCAGATATCATAAGGCCTCTCCAAAGCCATTGTCAGGACCGTATCTTTCATACACATTGGCCACTCTACGGCTATTATCATTACCCTGCTACAACATGTGTATCTATTTCATGTAGTTAACTTTACGATTGTTAGCATATTATACTTAACAAATATTAAATGTGCAACCTCTCAGATATACCACTGAATGTTCTAAAATTGCTCACAGTCGCTGTCGTGGCACTGCAAGCATGTATGTAACTAAATGCACAAGAAAAATAAAGATTTTTATATTTTTTTTTAAAGTATGTAGATGTTAAAACATATTTGCCATGTGACAAGTAAGTAGTCGGGACAGGTGTCTCCAAAACGTGGTATACATCACTGACATGCACTAAGTTGACTTTGCTCCATCCGTCCCTACGGAGGGTAGAAAATAGGATGTACGGTATATAATAATTCAGCTTGCAGTTGGTGCTGTTTTAAGAATACTGATCAGAAACAAAATTATCAGAAAGATTTCTGAATGCAGGATATTCTGAATTTTGGGAGAAATATACTTTACTATTTCTTGATACCTTTAAATTTTTTTGTAATCGCTACAAAGAAAGTTAAACAAAAAGTTTAATCTAAAAAATATGGAGGTCACATTTGGCATTTTGTGACCCTTTAATTCTGAAGCACTATTGTTTACTGGTTTAAAGTGGCACTGTCATCGTTTTTCCTCCTGCCCTTTATATATGTATGCATTTATTTTTAAAGAAGTTGTTAGATTCAGGACCTCAATTTTTTTTTTTTATTAAAAAAAAAAAAACCTGTAAAAATTTAAACCCGTGGTTTCCGTGTGAGAAGCACTGGACGTTTTCTCCCAAGTCATGCTGATGTAACTGTGAAGACCTTAGAAAATTGAGGTCAAAGTGCCTGTAATTGTTGGCTGTAAGACAGCCGCTCGAGGAGATTTTTTTATTTTGGATAAATGTAAACACTGTTAGTTCCTCCCACACCCTCCAAAAAAAGACAACATCTATGCAGAAAAACCACTGCATGAAGATCTTGTAATTCTCAATGCTTAGTGTCCCTTGAAAAGGTTGTAGTCATCCCGTCACCCACACACACTTGACTTTGTTTATAATATATGGGCAATGTGCGAATCTTAGTTCCTTTTCAGTCACCACTATTTTATTCTCTTCTGCCAATGGTGTTTGTGGCTTGCCCTTTTGTGGGGTTCTTTTGACTGATTGTGGCAACTGAAAAGGAACCTTTTGTACGTTCCACCTGTTGCCCAAGATTATGATATGTAAGAAAAAGTAGGGTCAAACCAAAACAGCAAAGTAACAGTGCCCTTTAAGTAAAAATGGAAAACAACTCAAAATAGGCCAGCTAAGACGACCGTTTTTCTTTTTCATTGCCAACAGGCACATTGACGGCCTACTTATTTAAACAGGAAGCTGAATGCTTCCGTTCATATGATACAAGTAGCAACATTGAAATCAATGATGCAATGAGGGCGTTCCTCTCTTTCTACCTTTTGATCTAACCCTCAGTGCTCTCGTATCGTTCACTGTGTCCGTGAATTGTACAGAAAGAAAACTGAAACCATTTTTGAAAGCAGTGAAAATGTCTGTGTTATTGGACACCTAGCATATTAAATACATGCCGTGTCATTTCTGAACTCTTATCACCGAGGAGAGAGGGGAAACATGGTGTTAGATTTACTAACTCAGCTTTGTATTCTCCTGCAGGTGACAGGTGTCTTTTCTGGTGAGTAACTGCGTTTGGTAAAGTCATTTAAAAAATGTAAGGGTGGAGATTCGTAGGATAGAAAAAACTGATCAATGAATTGTTGAAAATTCTAACTGAATTTGAAATTTTTGGTCAAAATATTCGAAAATGGAAAAATGATCCACTGAGATCAACTATTTTGGCCTCAAATTTGAATTGACTTTTAATTCCTAAAATTTAGTGAATAACCCTGTGGGGTATATACACTAAACACCGAATTGTATTGAATTGCAACATTTATGCTAGAAATTATGATTTGGGAAAATTCAACTGCGCTATAGTCATAGCTTATCTTTTTAGCCTAAAATATGGAATTCAGTGTTTAGTGTGACTAAACCTTTTTGATGCATGAAGTACTCTATTTAAACATTTATTTATTTAAAGGAAAACTCCAAGCAGGGCTGGTGCAAGGATTTTTGGGTACACAGGCGAAGATGCATTCTGACACTCCCGTTTCTCACCAAAAAATGCATCTTCAACCAGTGTGCCCTTTAATCCCCTTCCCCTTTATACCCCACTTTTGTGTTTCTTATCCTCTCTTTTGAATGTCTAACCCCCTTTAGTATATCTTATCCCCCATTTTTTCCTTTTGAGCGTCTTACACCCTGTTTGTGTGTCTCTTTGTACCCCAGCTCCTTTTGTGTGTCTCTTACTTCACTTAGCCCTTTTGTGAACATATAGCTCCCCCAGCTTCTTTGTGTATCTTTCTTTCTTTCCCTCCTCCCAGCAGGGCCGGACTGGGGATACAAAGCAGCCCTGGAAAAAAATCTATGCCAGCCCCATAAGTCATTGTGCTATGTAGGGTGTTTTATTTATATATATATATATATATATATATATATATATTTTTTTTTTTTTTTTTTAATTGATACATTTCTTCTTCTAATTCAAAATATTAGTCCTTTCAGGGTAATTAAATTATACAGTAAAGCATACTCACATACAGACAATCTTACTGATGCACACAAATAGGCTCATTGAAAGACAATCTCAATGACACACACAGACAAGGTTACACACACACAAATTTAGTACAGACAAACTCTGACACACACACAAGCTTACTACAGACAAGCTCACTGTCACACACATGCTCACTACATACAAGCTCACTGATGCGCACACACTCTCCCTACAGACAAGCCCACTGACACACACATGCTCCCTACAGAAGAGCTCAGTAACACACATGCTCACCACAGACAGGCTCAGACACACACATGCTCCCTACAGACAAGCTCACTTACACACACACACACACACATATATATGATCCCTACAGACAAGTTCACTGACACACATACAAGCTCACTCACTAGCAGGCACACACACATACACAAACTCACTAGCAGGTGCACACACACAGAAGCTCCCTCACTAGCAGATGTGCGCACACACACAAGCTCGCTCACTCACTAGCAGATGCACACACAAAGACATCCACACACACAGAGGCAGACGGTCACTGACACCAAGGCAGACATCCACACACACAGAGACAGGCAGACAGCCACACACACACAGCCAGACAGTTACACACACACACAGGCAGACAGTCACACACACACACACACACACACACACAGAGACAGTCACACAAACAGTCACACACACAATCACAGTCAGACAGTCACACACACACAGGCAGTCACACACAGACACACTGACCTGCTTCTTACCTCCACATCCCTTGGAGCTCCTGGAGGCTGGTTGTTGGGGAAGCAGGAGCTGCCCTGGAGGAGCATTGACCCAACTTGCTCATTTTGAGATGGGGTGTGCTTGTCATGGGTGATAAATTCAAAAAAAATAAATCAAAAAATACCCAGGCCAATTTTTTCCCCCCAGCCTGGCACTGGCGGAGGGCATAGAATGAGCAGTAAGTAGATTCATGTCAGACCAGGTAGTGGTAAAGAAGATTATCTACCATGATCCACGATGCCACACAACAGACACAGACAGAGTGAAACCCACAAAAGGGGGAGGTGAGAGCAAGAGACACTTAGGGTTAAGGGACACAGGTGGGGTAAGAGACACAAAGGGGGAGGTAAAAGACACGATGGACAAAAGGCCCAAGACACTCTTAATGTATCTTACCCCCCATGAGTAAGAATTTTCTAAAGAGGAATAAGAAGGGGTAAGAGGCAAATGAGGGAGTAAGAGATCCCAAAGAGGGATAAAGATGCAAAACCATAAATAAAATGACAAAAAGACGATACAGTATCCAAAAAGGGGCAAAAGAGGCACAACACAGGGTACAAGAATGGCTAAAAAGAGAGTTAACAGACACAGTGGCGAAGACACATTTTGGGGTGCAAAATGCATCTTCACCTGTGTAGACAAAGAGCCTTGCACTGACTCTGTGCCTGGCACTCCCATACACCATAAGGAACTGTAATTTTGTACTAACACTGCTACCTGCATGGCCTTTGGTTGGACATGTGATGTTTTCAAACCAAAGATGGTGTCAGGAGTCTGAGGAACCATCACAACCACACAGACGGTGAGTGATACTCAACTCCAACTTGTACTCCATGCGTCACACAAATATCACGTAGTTGACTTGCTGGGGATACATTCCTAAAAACATCAATTATTGACTCTAATGATAACGAATGTGACTGTATTGTGCTATGCACTCGCTTTCTTTGATTTTATTCAAGGTTTGTTTAATTTCTTTCCATATTGTTACCTATGTGTCTTCCTCACAGCCAGTCACTCTTATCGCTATTATTACACCGGGATCACAGAAAATGCAAATGGCCAGCCTGTGTTTACCGCCACCGCGTATGTGGATGATTATCCAATTGGAGCTTACACCAGTCACTCCAAAGAGTTTAAACTCCAAACCGAATGGATAAAGGAAAAAACGGATCCAGAACTGTGGGAGAGAAATAGTGAGATCTTTCAGGGTTGGGAGATCGAATTCAAAAAGGGTGTCAGGAGTCTGATGAATCATTACAACCACACAGATGGTGAGGGATACTCACATTATACGTATACTCTGTGCTTCACAAAAATGTCCCATTGTAGACCTGCTGGGGGTACATCCCTAAAACCTCATTAAATGACTATGCTCAACGTTGGGCCCGCTCTCGGGAAAGTCATAGAGACTTTGTCACATAAAATCGCAATACATTTTGTTTGTTTTACTCAAGCTAGTGTTATTCATTAACAGGGTTGTTTGCTAAGCTCACAATTTCTCCAAAATTAAGGGACCACTATAGTGCCAGGAAAACAAACTCCACCACAGAGTCCCACTCCTGCCGGGCTGAAGGGGGAGGAAAGGAGTTAATCACTTACCTTTCTCCAGCGCTGGGCTCCCTCTATGCTGGGGAAATATCCTCCCTCTCCCGATGTCAGCGCTGAATGCGCATGCGCGGCAATCAGTCCATAGGAAAGCGTTTCTCTGAAACTGCTATGTTTACAGCTGCAGGGTTAACCCTAGAGGGACCTAGCACCCAGACCACATCATTGAGCTGAAGTGATCTGAGTGCCTATAGTGGTCCTTTAAGGCTAAAATAACTGTGGTACAGTCACAACTTGGTTATTTTATAATTCTACAAAGTGTGAAATGTCAAGGAATTCACAGTAATAAGTAAGTAAGCTATGTTTTCGAGTTTGTCTAAAATGTTCTATTCATTTTACATTTTTCCTAGCAATTAACACTTCAGTAAATAATTCTGAAGATTCTTAGAATTCTTAGTCGATAGGAATTTCCCTCATCTGAGCAACTTGGGGAAGTTATAATTTAATATGGGCTGATTTTGCTTTAATTTGTCCGTGAAAATATGAGAGATCCTTCAAATAGTATATCCCACACTTCAAACTATGGATAGACAGGATGGCGTAAGGTTGCAACATAAAAGAGATCATGCTTTTTGTCCCAAAGTTTAGAAACTGAATGTGTGAAGAAAAATAAATTGGATATACCCAAAATTGATACCATTATCTTTAACTACAACGGTGCATAAAATGAAGATTATTCTGACACTTTACTTACCATGGATTATGTAGCCATTTAATTAGATCAGAGTCTTTGTAGCACCAATATCTTTCATTTTTAATTGCTTCACTACTCTTAGATACACGATGTAACTCTGTTAAACTTTCACGTTATTTGCAGGATTCCATACACTTCAGTGGATGTACGGCTGTGAGCTCCATGACAATGGCAGCATTAGTGGCTATGATCTTGATGGATATGATGGAAAAGAGTTCATGGCCCTAGATTTAGAAAGAGTTATCCACACAGCTTCCCTTCCAGAAGCAGAGACCATTGCTCAGAAATGGAACACTGAAACAAATGAGGCAGAGAGAATGAAAAATTACCTGCAAGAGCAGTGTATCGAGTCACTGAAGAAATACATCCGTTCTGGAAAAGAGAACCTCGAAAGGAAAGGTGAGGAAGCAATTGGTTATTTTTCACAAAGTACTATACTGTATTGTCCTACTGCACTGTACATAATATATATGCTGTATTTTGTTAGTACAGTACTCACTAGCCTTATGTCCTTGTGGAAGATGGCTTAAAATATTTTGGAAATTTATCTAAGGATACCCTTTCACCAAAGGGCATTTTGGTGGTTCTAGTTATACAACTGCTCATTAGTATTGGCTAATACTTTTTATTTTAGACTCTCATTCTATGTAGACTTCTTGGTTTTTGTTGATTTTGCCAGAATTGATGCAGTTGAATGGGTGATGCGTCTAGGGTGAAAATATGAGTTTGTGAGTTTGAAATGCAGTGAGACCTAAAAATATTTTCTTGATATATATCTTGGGGTGTCAAGAACAGAGATATGTGTGGCAGAAAAGTTCAATGTGCGGTTACTAGGGAGAGGGAACTTGTGAAATCTGATCTAGAACTGATTGGTTTGTCATTATAGTGAAAATAATCCCGTGATTGGAGTGTGGTTATCTGTGATTAATTTAAAGCAACTGTCCATTAGATTGACAATGCAGAAAACCAGTTGGAACATCCTGAAATAGTTTGGCAAGAGGCAAATGGAAAGGGCAGTTGTATGCTAAATGAATGGTGGGAACTTGGAGAAAATGCACAGTCAACCCTGGAGAATAAGGCATGATAAATCACTGTCAACCATACTTTAGTTCTCTACCTATCTTGTTTGTGTTGTATTTTCTTTAGTTCTTCCAGAGATAAACATTTCTGAGAAGACAACGGACAATGGCATAACCCTACACTGCCATGCCTATGGATTTTACCCCCGAGATATTGATGTCAAGTGGATGAGAAATCACAGAGAAGAGGTTCCTTGTCAAGATGACCAGTACATCCTGCCCAACACTGATGGAACATACCAGGTCCAAGCTTCTATACACATTCTGTCCAAAGATGGGGACAGCTATTCCTGTCATATTGATCACAGCAGTCAAACGGAAACTCGTATCTTGACATGGAGTAAGTGTCCTATAATTCATGAACCTAGAGATACATTGGAACCATAAAATGTCAGCGTGACCTTCTGGGGTTGCTCGATTCCTGTTATTCTCAGTGTTAGGGTTATTGTACAATTCTTGTATATAGATTTTGAATAAATGTTACAAATAGGCAAATGAGCAAATTACCAGAAAAACAGTTTCCATGGACACTTCTTCAATCATGCTATCCTCAAGGCTTCTCAGTATTACTCACATTTAGGGCTCGACTCTTATACCGAGATGTTTCATACTTTTAAGTAATCCCTCCACAATTTAATTCTATGGGTTGCTAGGCCAGAGGTTGTGGGATACTGAAAACCGAATTGCAACATTCGGGCCAAACTAACCCAGCTGTGCCCTATTTGGGTTGAATTTAAAAAAATATATATTTATCAAATTCGCTATGTTGTCCAAAGTTCAGGTATTTTTACAAACCCCAATACATTTAATTAGCTCCCCTTTCTTACTGAGAATCCTATGAGAGTTGAAGCTTGTAAGGTATTTTTTAACAATTAATTTTAATTGAAACAAGTCTTGTACTAATTAAAGTGTCTTGTTTCTTCCACATTGAAATAAAAAGTCTCATAGCTCTAAGGCTGTATCCTGGGATCTCTGTATTCAAAGATCCTAAAGCTGTTTGTTGGTTTGGAATTTTAAACAGCTGTACATTATCTACATGACATCATCTCTACTCCATTTTCTTCCACAAACTACGTCTCTCTTCTTTAACAGAACCCACGAAGGATGCAACAATATATATTGTCATGGCTTTGTGTGTCTCAGTGATTGTCCTGGTTACTGCTCTTGTTGTAATATGGAAGCGCCGGGGTGCTGGTAAGTGTCAGAAACTAATTAAATAACTCCCAATGTAGAGTTTCATTTTATGTATAACTATTTTATTCTGTTTGTAATTTCGTTCTTTCTATTTTAGGAAATAACAACTCCAACTATGCTCTCTCTACAAGTAAGTTAACAATGTACTGTCTTAAAATGTGGGTACAATGTGTGATTGAATAATAAACCACTTACCAGGTGGACAAATACCGACATTAAATGTGCTTCGAAGTTGGTAAAATCCACTTTGTAATTAAAAGGGCTGTTTTTAAATAAGGTATTTTGTTAATAAAATGTATAAAAATGTGGGGGTGGTGCCTAACAGCTGACCAACATAGTCTCACATGGCTGGAGCTCCTCATTAAAAGCATATAACTAATCCTATCAAACGTCAAAAATACTATTGATCCAGAGGACTGCTCTGACGAGTATTTGGTCTGAAACTTACTGGATCCAGAGGACAACACCCGTATTTGGCTTCACTGCGGCATGTGGATGTTGCTGAGGCAGTGGAAGCGGCCTATCCTCTGCCCTGGCTGTGTACTAGCTGGTCTCTGAGCCCTGTCCCCACACATGCCCCCTTTGGTCTGGCGGAGAATATCCTGGTCTCCATTAATGATCTCTCATGGCCTCTTCTGAGAGACTCTAGTAATTGCACATGGATTGGATGATTCAGGCCTACTATATGAGATGTGACCTGCTTCTCTGCATGTCTCCACACAGCTGCCCTCCTAGTTGGACTCATTTCTTCAGTCTTTTGAGCACTAATGCTCAGTTTTGGGTGAAGTTCCTCAAATGAATAACGCTACACCTCTGTATCATGCCTCCCAGGGTATGTTTCGGGGTCAAATATGCTAGGCATCCATTCTACAGGGTATCCCCTGCATGGCATTGTGGAGGAAGAAGCACAAGCATAAGCAGCGGCCCGTACATAATCGCCGGAGGTCCATGCTCCAGCCTCGTTTTACTTTGTTTCAATTTGCTCTTGGCTACTTAAGCTGGAACCTCTAATTGCCACGTAAATCACTGTCTTAATACTTTTTCTCATGAGGCAAATTAGTTGCAGCATTTTTTAAAATCCTTTTTCACCTAGCTTTTGCTTTTGAGAACCTTACTAGACAGTTCACATACTAAAAATGGGGCAATATTCATCTGCATACACTATATTTTGCTAAATGCTAACTGTGAAATATTATTAAAACAAGGCACAATCATTTTAGAAAGTGTATAAACAATACTAAATTTTCTAGAAGTGTCTTTTGGTAATAGCAGCTACCCCTTTAAGGCTCCTCATCATACACCTGCTCACAGCGGCAAAATCGCTCATTCCTACGCTATGGAAAAGCCCGGTAACACCCACCCAACAACAATGAGTGGAAAGAGTGGAAATGATTTTCAGCATGGAAATGATGACAGCCTCCCTGCATGGACGCTCGGACAAATGTGCCCTGATTTGGTTCCCATGGATGGAATATACAGCAAATGGAGCCACAAGGGACGCCCAGGCTGGGAGTTGGGGCTCCCCCGCACCGGCATGGCCCCCTCCCCCCCCGATTGACTGACGCATAGCTACAGTAAAGACCAGTTACGTATGACCCCCCCCACACACACACACAAAACTGACTAACTTGCCCCCCCCAACCCACTTCCCAGACCGTAGACAAACCGCAAAGACATGACTCTCGTAGGCACCCACGCCAAACTATATCACTACACGACACGTAGGACAGACGGAGAGCAAAATGGGAGGGAGGGCGAACGACAGAGAAAGGACAAGAAATAACAGGGAAAACATACAGGCACCATATAAACAGACTCAAGAGGGATAGAATGTGGTAACAATACCAGGAGACGTGACAAGCCTAAGTACCCGATATCGGACACAAATGCCCCCTGAGGAAGATACTTCCTCTAGGTTCCTCAAGCTAGTCATCACCCGGAACGGCCTACAATAGCCAGAACAAGCCACACGCAGGACTTAAGACACAACAAGCAGCACAGGACCTGACCGAGGCAACCACCACTTCTTGAGCCACACACAACACACCTTTTAGACAAAGATCTACACAACACAACACACTAGCGGCACTAACCGAATGACCCACTGTGACCAAGCCAGACATCCGAACGGACGGATGACACTCCTTAGCTACTATTAGAAACACATTAGACGCAAAGATAGAATATCAATATTAGGGCATACAGACACAACCCAGTTCATCAGGCAAGCCAACAAAGGTATAACGGAAGGGATACCACACACCGCATGCTTACAATAGACGCTACTAAAGTGACAGCTAAGCCGAAAGCCCCTGGCAGTAGCCCCCAGCGAAGCACAGCCATATCTGTCCAGAACCGACACACTTCCACTATGACAGTGGTAAAGCTGAATACGCACTAATGCTGATAATTCAATGCTTCCATGTTTCAGGGCTACACACCCAAATATGTTCAAAGTTGTATTGTGCTGAAAGATTGTCAAATGAACAAATACATAAACAAAGAATGTAAAAAAAAAAATGCTCAGGAACACTGGGTGCAAATTAGAAAATGTATTATAAATGTAATAATAAAACAAAAATTGCTTCTATGCATTTTTGTCCGGCAGCTCTAGACTCCCTCAGGGACCATAATTAGAAAAACATGTAAATACAATAAACAAGCATAACCCCCACCCCCAGTGTCCGTTTAAATATTTATTGTCCTGCGTTCGCTTTTGTCCGTGTCGCTTGTCATTAATTTTAATCTTCATTGTTCTGATGTATTCCTGTGCTTATTGGAATATATTTTTCTTTATGCCCCAATAAAAAAATTAAATAATAAAAAAAAAAAGGCGATATTATTAATAAAATAAAAAGTATCTGTTGATTTACTTAATCATTTTTTTAACTTTAAAAAAATAAAATTCAAAACCTGTAAACATATCGAATAAAACAGTAGTGTGCTTGGCAGAGAAATGTCCATGTGCCCTTACAGAGGACCACTCTCAGGTGGTATGTGGGTTACTTCTATTTTGAGAGATTTAGTGATTTAAAAAATATATTTCCAAAATAATTTGTTTAATAGCAAACATCCGTTTCTCTTTTTGCAGCTGAAGATAAGGATGTGCCTGTGTCCCTTCCAGCTGTCTGAGGTAACTGCAGGTAATGGGGTTTTTTAATGGAATAACTGTGCCTACCCCATAGACAAATGATTATCAATTTATTTTGCATAGATCATTTTTGTTACACTCCATATTATACCCAAAGTACATAGGTTATACTTGACTGATGTTTACAAATCAAATGTATTTTTTCCATTTTTTTTTAAAAATTCTTAAAAAAAACAAATAAGTAAGATGGATGTGCGGAATCAGTCATGTGCCAATTCCTTTTTGTCACACTATGTACCAGCCCTGCCAGGTATTAAATGTTGTAATACAATGTGGCTAAGCAGAATGCTATTTAAATCACCATATTTCTCCCAGTTTGCCATTAAGACATGTATTCAGAGCAAATCCTACAGATATTAGAGCATTTTCAGAGAATGTAAACATCTGGGGTTTTTTTCCCCCATTTAACATACAATGAAAAATTATCAGATTAACCCTGATTTTTGTTTCTGTAGGAGGCACATTTCCAAAATACATCCACCTGTTTTTTTGCCCTCAAAATTACAGAAACCCACATTATTCTGCCATTAGCTGCACAAGCAGTTGGATTGTAACATTCAGTTCTGAATTAATGTATCCACACGAAAGGTCTAAAATCCTGTATAAATTAATGTCCATTCGGGAGCGGTCTTGCTAACGTTGGGACACATTGTTGTGAATAGTCAATAGTCAATACACATTGAAATAGTCAACTGTTGTTGTGTTTTTCTTGCAGGCACATGTATCCTTCTGATTTCAAATCCCATCTTCTTGATATTAATATACAAGACTTGGCAAAGCACTAGACAAATATTTTTGAAGTTCAGTGACTCATTATATACATAAATATTAATATTACTACAGACATTCTCTCCTTGCAAAGCTTGTTTTCACATCTTACATCTTATCCTTGTAGGATCTTTCTATTCTCTTGGAATCCTAGGTACAATTAGAATATTATTATTATTAGTTCTTGAACAATGGTTCTCCGTATGTTTCACTTTCAACATAATGTTATGGGCTTATTTATTGTTCTTTGTGTGTGATGTAAGAAAAATAAATATGTATATGTATATAATTGCAAGCATGCTCAAATATAGCTTGTGTGAGTTCAATATGTGGGTTACTGTAAACTTGATAAAATACACTTTTTATGTTAAATCAAATCTTTTTTAATAACGTGGTACTCTTCCACAAAGATGGGTATTTGCTGTCTGTACAATGTTTTCCTTTTAAAGAAGATCGCATCGCCATCCAAGAAAGGACTAAGGATTTCTGGATGGTTTGATGATGATGATGATACGTCTTGTGACTCCACTACAGAAAGATACATGCCTTCACATCGACAATCACCCCAACTGCTCTGTTCCTTGCTTACTTTTGAAGGGAACTACATTTTGGAGTCTCTGAAGTTGCAAACTTCCATGGAAAAGCAGCAACAAGAAGTATTAAGGAATGAGACCTGTGAAGGTTTTCTTGGACCCAAAGCTGGTTTAACTGTGCTATAACTGTTAACATTAGCCACAAGACTCAAGTCAGCCTTTTAGCCCAATGAGTTTACCAGGTATACTTTGCATTGGTCCACCAATATGGCCACCATCTTGGATGTTGACCACGCTTTTGGTTGGTAAGATTTCACAGAAATGGACCTTATATGGATTTTCATTAAATTCATTGGTAGAAATTGCACGTAGTTTCTGGACAGATACCAACCTTTGCAGCCCTGATTTAGATATGGTTCTATGCAGGATATAGAGCCAAGCCAACAAAGCAATGGAAACATCCACTTCAAACCCAGCAGACTGTTATGTACCCTCTTCCGACGTATTCTATTCTGTAAAATGCTGCACAGAATTAAAAGTGGAGCAATCATCATGTGGGAACCAGAGGAACCAGCAGGTGCATTTGATTAATGATTCCTCCCTTTTTCCATCTTTGCGTCAGTTTTCAAAACACAGTACTTTGAGATCTCGAGCTATTACATGTTAAGCGACTATGACTTGCTGTTGATGAGTTGCTCCTTTGTCATTGTTTGATGTCCTGGTATTTCTTTTACATTTTTCAGAGGAAATTATTTAATAAATGTTAATTTTTATTAAGAATATTGGTTTTATCCACTCTGTAGTCTCACCTTAACTATTTTTCCTGTGCATATATGTTTCCATGGTTTGGAGTCCTAAATGTCAGGTAATTACATATCCACGAGCTGTGGGGTTATTTAACATACATACTCCTGGATATTTTGTATTTTTATTTACTTTGCTAACCAGAGGTGCCTCTAGACTTTATGAGGCCTTAGGCGAAACTCAAACATGAGGCCCCACTAACAAAATAGTGAAAAAAATAGTTGCAATACATGTACACTGTCACTTATACACATTGATGCACAGTTTACCTGTGTATGTGCCTGAGAGTGTATCTGACAGAGAGTATCCATATGTGTGTGAATGTATGTCTCTGTGAGCATGTTTGCGTTTTTGTCTGTGAGCATGTATGTGTATGGGGTAGCTGCTTGAAGTGTGTTGTGTGTATGGGGGTCTGCCTGTAGCCTTTGTGCATTGTGCTTATGGCAAAGCTATGTTTCCTGATCGTGTGTGTTTGATGAATGTCTTCAGCTGGTGACTGTGAGAAGATGAGTAAAGGGGTACCAGTAGCAGGGAGAGTGTGACAGGGCGAAGGGGGTGAATGGACAGGGGGGGTTGTGAGAGAGAATGTGGGACAGGGAGTATGACATGGTTTGATGAGGGAGTGGGATAGGGCGAGTGGAGGTAAGTGTGTCAGGGCAATTGTGGCATGGTAGGAGGGACGAGTGTGACAGGATTAAGGGGGGTTAATGTGACAGGGTGAGTGTGGCAGAGTGGGGGCAGGTGTGTTTGGAGGGGTGAGGTTAACAGGATCATAGGCGTGCGCACGGGGTGTGCCGGGTGTGCCTGGGCACACCCTAATCCCCGTGCGCACGCCTATGGCTTGAGTCCTGCAGGAACAGCGTTCCTGCACTTTTTTTGAGCAGGAACGCTGTTCCTGCAGGCAGTCAGCGCCCCCCTGTCTCACCTCTTGCCCCTGTCATGGGGGAGGGGGGGCAAGAGGTGATGGATAACCCCCCCGCCCCGCAGTTCAGCCGCGGCGAGGGAGCTCTCTGCTCTCTGCTGTCTGCTCCCTCTCGCCGCGCGCTGATGCCGGGAGCCTGAATATGACGTCATATTCCGGCTCCCAGCTCCAGCAGACAGCCCGCGCGGCGAGAGGGAGCAGACAGCAGAGAGCAGAGAGCTCCCTCGCCGCGGCTGAACTGGAGAAAGGCGTCCGCCCCCACTGGACCCCAGGGACAAGTCCACCAGCACTCCAGGTAGGAGGCTGGGTGGACATTTAAAAAAAAATATATATATATAATAATGTGTGTGTGTGAGTATGTGTGTGTGTCAGTGTGTGTGTGTCTGTGAGTGTGTGTGTGTGTGTGTGTGTTTCTGTGAGTGTGTGTGTGTTTCTGTGAGTGTGTGTCTGTGAGTATGTATGTGTGTGTGAGTGTGTGTCTGTGAGTGTGTGTCTGAGTATGTGTGTGTGTCAGTGTGAGTATGTATGTGTGTGTGAGTGTGTGTCTGTGAGTGTGTGTCTGAGTATGTGTGTGTGTCAGTGTGTGTGTGTGTCTGTGAGTATGTGTGTGTCAGTGTGTGTGTGTGTGTGTTTCTGTGAGTGTGTGTGTGTTTCTGTGAGTGTGTGTGTGTTTCTGTGAGTGTGTGTCTGTGAGTATGTATGTGTGTGTGAGTGTGTGTCTGTGAGTGTGTGTCTGAGTATGTGTGTGTGTGAGTATGTGTGTGTGTGTGTGTGTGTGTTTCTGTGAGTGTGTGTGTGTTTCTGTGAGTGTGTGTCTGTGAGTATGTATGTGTGTGTGTCAGTGTGTGTGTGTGTCTGTGAGTATGTGTGTGTCTGTCAGTGTGTGTGTGTGTACATATATATACACATATATATATATATACACATATATATATATACACACATACACACGCAGAGCCGGCGCTATCTGAGTGCCGGCTCTGCTCTAAGCCTTCATGGGCCGGCGGGGAGACCAAAGATCTACCTCACCGGCCCACAGCAGCATGGAGGGAGGCAGGAGAGGACCCAGGGAGCTCTAGACAGAAGCTCCGCCAGGTTCCTCTCGCGATATCTGAGCGTTGCTGCGGCAACGCTCAGATCTCGCGAGAGTTAACTCTAACCCTGCAGGCTAGAGTTCACTCTCCACTGGACCACCAGGGATGGCACATGGCAGCAAGGATTTACTAATCTGCCAAATCCCTCCAAACATACAGCACACACACATACAGCACTAACCGCACCCTCACAAACACACACAGCACCTTTAAAAAAAACACAACACCCTCACACACAGCACACTAACAGCACCCTCACAAATAGCACCCTCACAGGACAAACATACACACACAAACAGCACAGTCACAAACACGCACCCTCACACACACATAACACTAACAGCACACAGCACACTAACAGCACACACAGCTGTGTGTGTGTGTGTGTGTGTTTATATATATATATATATATATATATATAGAGAGAGAGAGAGAGAGAGACACATACACACACACACGCGCGTGGCGTGTGTTTGTGCTTTAGGGTGCACACCCTAATGCAATTGGCTGCGCACGCCTATGAACAGGATTATGAGTGGTTAATGTGAGTGTGGATGCACGAACAGGCTGACAGTGTGGGGGGGTGACAATGTGTGGGGAGGTGACAGTGTGAGGGGATGCTAACCGTGTGAATCGGGAGGCTGAGTGTGTAATGAGGGGGGGTGATACTGTGTGTGTGGGGGGATGATCCTGTGTGGGAGGGAGGGTGATGGTGGGAGGGAGGGGGGTGATGGTGAGAGGGAGAGTGGGTTGATGGTGAGAGGGAGAGGGTTGATGGTGATGGTGAGAGGAGGGGGTGATGGTGAGGGGAGAGTGGGGTGATGGTGAGAGGGACTGGAGGATGGTGAGAAGGACTGGGGGTAATGGTGAGAATGCTGGGGTAATGGTGAGAAGGACTGGGGGTAATGGTGAGAAGGACAGGGGGTAATGGTGAAAAGGACTGGGGGTGATGGTGAGAGGGAGAGTGGGGTGATGGTGAGAGGGAGAGTGGGGTGATGGTGAGAGGGAGAGTGGGGTGATGGTAAGAAGGAGAGTGGGGTGATGGTGAGAAGGAGAGGGGGTTGATGGTGAGAGGGAGAGGGGGTTGATGGTGTGAGGGAGAGGGGGTTGATGGTGTTATTGGATATGTAGACCTGACGCAGCTAAAGGGCCAAGGTTAGACTACCTTCGAAAAATGAACTTCATAGACCTGTGATTCAAGCTAATGATCAATAGGTGAAAGAATAATCATAATTTTTGTGGAACATATGCTTAGTAGTAGGCGAAAATGAATTAGAACACGTCTGTATATAACTGTAAAAATGCAAGGTGGAGGAGTAAGTAATTTAGGATAATAACAAAACAAACATTTATTTTGTTATCTTTCGAAATTTGGAACAGAAACATTCCGTAGACCCCTCTATGGGAAATTAAACATCAAACTGTAAAAGGTCATATAGACATACATAAACACCAGTACGTAGACACTTACACAACAATCTATATGAAACAACCAATCACACCAAGATGGTGTACACTTATATTTAAAAAAAAAAAAACTGCACTAAAGGTAGAACATTCATCGATCTGGGGACAGAATCCAGAATATAAAGTGGACAGTTTGGGTAAGTTTCTAGATAGATTATCTAAATTGGCAACTAAGCTATTGGAATGCCATAAACTATATAGGTTTCTTTTCAGGGTTACGAAAGTAGCAGGAAAAGTTAAATAAAAATCCAGACATTTCAGAAGGTGTCCACAAGTTTGGTAGTCTCAGGTAAGTTATAAAATCAAGCACAGTTTACTATGTCTTGTTTCTCCTGTTTTACAGAACAGCTTGGCTGGAATCCCAGAGATATTTTATTCCAAATTCTATGCTGTCGCTGGGCATGAAGAAGTGAAACCTGACATCCATCAATCTCAACTTAATCTTAGCTCCACACTTTGGCAAGCTGTGCTACTATATGATCATCCTATACTACAACTTACATAATGTTGCTAGTGGTAGAGAGGGCCGACTGAGCATTGAAGGAACCTCAAAACACATCACAACATTCCATCTTCAGAATCAGGTTAGTGAAGAACCTTTGGTAACGTCTGGCCAGGTTTTTCTGTGTAATAAAGATGGTTTAATATAGAGGGAGTTTAGCTGTCACTCAAAGAAAAGTAGAACAAAGTTCTAAGAGTGGAACAAACACATCAAACTAAAGACAATGGCCCTGTTCGATTTATTTGTTTCTGTAGTGATTGCTCCATTGTTTTTCTTGTTTTTAATTGCACCATGTTTCTGTTGGTAGCATCTGTGTAAATCTTTCCTGTGACTAATCAAACCTTGTTACTGTCTTGTTTGGCGTTTGTCTTCTATTTGAAGACTGTAAATGTGTTCTAGACCCATGGGTTCCTGAGGTGGGAGTTGTAGAAGGCAACATGGTCACTTCCAGGGATACCCTCAAGCCAATTCCAGTGTAATTTGGAAAATATTATCTCTGACAGCTCCCGGGTTTATAGGAAATCAAATAATATTAATTTGGTAGCAAGGAGATATTACTTGAAGCTATTTTTTGGTATAGGATGTCCTGAGTAGTTTTGGGTGCCCTTTTTTGCCTATTTTCTAAAGGTTGTTGGTTGGAGAGGTGCTTTAAAATGAAGCTCAGCAGAGTGTTTCTGGGTCTAAAGTTAGATAGCTCTGTCTCACTTTCTCCCACTTCAGTTCTTTAAGGAATATCTGTTACAGATGACTAGATAACTCAGAAATCCCAACCACATCATGGTTTCTGTTAGTACCTGACTGGATGCCCTTCTGGTTGTAATTTTGTTTCTTGAGAAATCAAGAAAACATTTACATCTGCTGAAAAGAGGTTCTGCAATAGCAGCCTGACAGAGGAGTTTGAACCATCTGTGACTTCAGGGTTACGTTTTTTTTCTTGCAGGCAGCAGAAAAAACACATTTGGACCCCTAATTGCAAGGAAAAATTTACAGG